CACGAGGTTCCATTCTCAGCCGTCTTCAAATACTCCAGATGTGTGGAAACTCATTGGTTCCTTATATAGACCAAATGTTTGAGTCCCCCGCAAATTCACAGTTTGAAGCCTGAACTCACAATATGATGGTATTTGGAGGTAGGGCTTTTGGGAGGTAATTAGGGTTAGACGAGTTCATGAGGGTATGGCCCCTATGATGGGATGAGCACCCTTATAAGAGAAGAAAGAGAGACTGTGTGCTGTCTCTCTCTGCCACTCTGAGCACACGAAGGTGTCCATCTGCAAGCCAAGTAGAGAGCCCTCACCAGTCACCTTGACCTTGGATTTGCCAGCCTCCACAACCAGGAGAAAGAAATGTCTGTTGTTTGAGCTATCCTGTCTATGATATTTTGCTAAAGTAGCCTGAGCTAAGATAGTCCTCTAGGGACTCAGAGTCACTGCCACTCGTTCCTACATCACACATGTGGCATGGAGAGACCTACTTCCCTTTTTCAGTGCTTGTTCTGCACAGGCCATGAAAATAAACATCTAAGACCTAGAGGCCCATGTTTTGCCTTCAGATCTCTAGGGAAAAATTAATTATAAATTTTCCACAGACATCATTGAGAAAAATAAAGCAGATTTTTAAAAATCTTTCCTACGTTAAAAAAAAAAAAAATGGTTTTTAGGAAAATGGCTCCATTAAATAAGTGTTAACATTCAAATCTTTGTTTGAATTGTTTTTGTTTGAAATTCAAATATTTATTGAACACCTACCAAGTGTCCAGCAGTGCTCTAGCCCGGTGCCAAGTGTCCAGCAGTGCTCTAGCCCAGAGAGCCACCTGGGCATCTCTTCAGGATGCCAATTCTGATTCGGGGGGCCTGAGACTCTGCGTTCCTGATACGCTCCCAGGCGATGCTCCCACGCTGAGCACTAGGTCTCCAGGCCAGCGAGCACCACTTCTGACTTCATCCTGAAATTGCCTGGGAGCTCTTAAAAAGTAACGACTCCTGGGCACTACCCCGAACCAATGAAAGCAGACACTCTGGGAGTGGGACCTGGACATTTCAAAATATTCCCATAAAGCTCTTGAGGTGATCTAAATATGCAGCCAGGATTAAAAACAGCTCTTCTGGCCACAAAAGAGGTAGCCCTCAAGGGTAGACACCCAGCAATGAAGTGAGTTATGTTAGTGACACATGTCACAAAAACATAAAAACAACACAGGGAGCAGGGCACGGAGGCTCACGCCTGTAATCCTGGCACTTTGGGAGGCCGGGGCAGAAGGATTGCTTGAGCCTAGGAGTTTGAGACCACTCTGGGCCACATGGCAAAACCCTGCCTCTACAAAACAAATAGAAAAAAATAGCCTGTGGTCCAAGCTATTCGGGAGGCTGAGACAGGAGGATCACTTGAGCCAGAGTGGTAGAGGCTGCCATGAGACATGATCACACCACTGCATTCCAGCCTGGGTGACAGAGTGACAAAATTAAATAAAAACAAACAAACAAAAAACACAGGATGATAAAGGTGGAAGGGAAGGGAAGGGTGGTGGCTGGTACTTATGCTGAAACACAGATAATGAGATCAAAATGCTAACACCAAGATCTGGGGATACAACCCTGGGCAGAGTCCATTTTCCATGTAGAGTCTTCAGGAAAGACTAGAGCAGGGTCCCATTCATGTTTTTGGAAAACAAAGTTCTTCCTCTCACAGGTAAAGACGAGCATGAGAAGGCACAGGCCATAAAGACACACACTGGAGGTTCTTACGGAGACGTGGGCTCCTGTTTGTGGGACACCCACTCCAAGTGGTGCCTTAGCACAGGAGAGAGCTCTTAAAGCTCCATCTTCTGACATCCCTGAAAGGCCTCACCCAGCAGAGCTGGACAAGGTGCCCTCCAAATCATGGAGGCAAGCTTAAAGCAGAAGCCTGAAGAGGAGGCAAGATGCCCTGCAATTCTTTATGAGGAAACCCCACCAACTGTGCAGAAGGGAGGCAGCCATCAGACAGCAGCATCTGTCACATGCCTGAAACTCTCGCTTGAAGCTCTAATCCAGCCTTCCTCATCACAGCAAGCCCCAGGATGGGAGGCCAGGGTGAAGAGGTGTAAGAATTGAGTGTTTGCTCTCCAGGTGCCCAACCTCACCGACTCCCAGGTGGAGTTCTGGTGGTGGGCATGGAGCCTATGACCGAGGTCTAAGCCAGTCCTGGGCCCAGCACTCCCTTGGCCAGATCAATCTGCAAGGGTGGTCATGCGGCCCAACTCAACCCAACAGAACTTTCTGGCTTCTGCAGAAGCTGCTCAGCCTCAGCATATTTGAGTCTGGGAGAACAAAAGGTTGGGCCAGTGGTAACCGCCTTCCCATGCTAGATGATAAGTGAGCCCAGAGATGGAGAAACAGCAATTGACACCTCGTAATCTTTGTTTTCACACTGCCAGTTACTGAGTCACTAAATTTCTATTTCTGCTAAACCCAGTTCTGTCATGGCAACTCTAAATATCCCTGCCTCGTCTAGTCCCCCAGGCTACACAGAAGGACACTGGACAAGCTCATCCTCCTCTGTGCACCTGCAGTGCCTCCTGCAGGGCTGCTCACTGGGAAGCCTCTGGAGTCCGTCAATGTCACCCAGCTTTCCCTGTGTTGAGATCTTGCCCTCTCTACTCTAGTATAAGCAACTCAATGACAGGGGCTTGCATCTTATACTCCCCACTACATGTCCAAAATAGAGCTGGACACACACCAGGTGCTTGCTACACAGACTTGTGAAATGAAAAGGGGGCAGAGATTCTCATAGGCCAGGGAGGAAAATGCTCGGAGGGAAGGCCGGCCACAGCCCCCATCTGGCCTGAGAGGAGAGCTGGGGACTGTGCAATACAAGGGAGAGGCCTGGCACCTGGATCCAGGTGACCCCAGTATGTTCCAGCTGCCCAAGAGATCTTAGGAAGCCACTAAACTTCTGAGCTTCATGTATCTTGTCTTGGCAAAAATGTGATAAGGATTAAAATGTGAGATACATCAAAATGCACTTTCATTCCATCATTCACTCATATTTGTGGAGCCCTTCCTATGGGCCAGGCTGTATTCTGGAAACAGTCAACATAAAGCATAATGCAAAAATTAACCATTTTTAAAGATATTGTCAAGTTCCCTCCACTTCTCTTTCCACAAAAGGGACAAGGTAAGGCCTTCCTGTGGAATAGAACAGACACTTTATATGTTAATTGAATGATTTTTAATCAGACAGCTGAAGACAGACACAGAGCCCACAGTGGGGCAGAGGAGAACTCGATGATAAGAAAGGGATCCCTGTCTAAGCCAACATACTCAGGCTATGTACGACAGAAGTCACGGCAGGGGCATGGCCAACCCACGATAAGGGCACCAGCAAGCTTGAAACCACCCAAACATCCCCCAACCCTGATTCTTTATCCAGAGTAGCAAAGGGTTCCCATGCAGATGGTGCCAATTCCAGCATTTCTGGTCCCTGGAATGGGTGGGAACGGCCCCCGGCATTAACCAACCTTGGCCTCACACATGTTTTTCAGTGTACAGCCAATGACCCTTGCCATATGTCAGTTGGCCCACACGTCCACCAGCCTGGCTGATGAGAGGAGACACCCTGGGGGAGGGAATGACAGGATGACACCCCTGCCTGCTGGGTCACCAGGATAGGAGGAATCCCCCAGGTTCCAAGTTAATCCCAGCACTTCTCTGCAAGCCTGCGCTTGTCCACCACCACGTCCCTCCCGGTGGACTTCTCAGAAGGCATCTGAGGGCAGGAAAACTGATAGCGTAAAAAAACAGTATGAAAACTTTGACAGAAGGTCGCCCTCTCCTAAGCACAGGGAACCAACCAAAGGTTTTAGTTACACAGGCCTAGGCTCTCAAACCAGCTTTACCACTTATGAGTTCTGACTTTCAGCAACTTGTGCCTTCTCCCTCGATCCTTCCTGACCTATAAAATGGGGATGAGACTTGCCTCACAGAGTATGACAATTAAACACATGCGGACTCCCATCAAACCCTGTTACTTTGCCCTGGAGTTTCATCTCCCTTTATACCCAGTCCCAAACAGAGCCTTCCCAGTTTCTCCCAACAACCCTGCAACAGGTAACTATTCTGCCCATTTACAGGTGAGAAAACAGAGATCCAAAAAGATGATGTGATCTGCCCAGCAACTCAGTGGCAAAGCCATCTGTATTAAAACCTCACAGTTCCCTAAGGGCTTGTGAATGTATCATCCCCCCAGATCCTCCTCACAAAGACCTTAAGGGTTGGAGCCAGAGCTCAAGCATAGAAGTGCCTGCGGTCTGGGCAGTGGCTGTGATTTCTGCTCTCTGCCACTACGCTCTCTTCTCCTGAGAATTTTCTTCACTCATTTAAGCAAAGCCTGTCTGTGGCAGGAGAAAAGACAAGATGTCACCTCTGGGTCTCTACTGCCTCAGACCCCCAAGAAAAATGTGAAGCAGAACATCAAAACGGGGCAAGCAGGATCAGTCTCCAGGGCTGAATGACACCCTGCAGACTCCCATTTGAGAGAAACGGCTGCAGCACCCCAGAGCATCCCGCCCCTGCGGCCGCCCAGGCATGCCCGGACCCTGGTGGGCCATCTCAAAGCACCATTGCCACAGCAGCTGGATCTGCCACTGCGAGAGCTCCAGTAATGGATACAGTGAGCAAAAGGGAAAGAAAACAAAGACATCTCGAACCGCAAACAAAATCAAGAGAGCAGGGAAAATACTTAGCCTTCAGGAACACTGTGAGAACAAAAAATAACATTTTTAAACTCTTGAATGTGACCTTTTCAGTTGCTGGATAAAGAAAGCACTTGAGTTGCTTAGCAGCACCATTGACGAATGTCTTTATGTTACCTTTCAACACCTCACGGCCACCCTTTCCCACTCAGGTCCACAAACCGCCTTTCTCAGCTCTGGCTGTAACCGCCCACATAAGCACCATCTTCAGGTCAGGCCAAACGCCTTAGTAGACTGGGTGGAGAAGAATCGATTTCTTACCAGGATCTGTGCAGTTCTTGGCTGTCTGTGTCCCATTCACTGGGGCCATCAGCTTTCTATTTCTCCACGTGTCTGGCAGGACACGTTTGCTAGCTGAAGCTGTTTTGTGCCCTGGATTGGAAAATAAGTCACAGACACCATTAGGTCAGTGTGATGGCTGCATTTCCAAAATGATCTTATATTTGTGTGTCTATGTCAGCAACTGCCCTGTATGCCTATTCGGAGCCACCTTTAGGATCTGATAGGATGACTGGAAGTATAATATAACCTGCTTACATACAATGGTCTGTTTCCCGGATCTAGCTCACTGTTTCCAGTCCCAGATGGGTCAGCATGTGACCTGACCTTGGCCAAGACTGAGGTGGTCTCAGCACCTCATAGGTGCAACAAACAGTTTAGATAGGTGGCCCTTTAGGTGTTCTTCCAGTAAAAGACACTCTCAGAGGGCCCCTGCCCTGGAGGAACTCCAAATGAATAGCAAGTCAGCAAGCAGGTGGGCATGGCTGACGCGGTCTGGCCCAGTGCTCCTCACACTTGAATGTGCACGCAGATCACCTGGGGATCTTGTTAGAATTCAGATTCTGATTCAGCAGGTCTGGGGTGGGACCTGGGATTCTGTACTAACAAGCTCCCAGGTGGGGCTGATTCTGCTGGTCCAGGGGTCATACTGAGCAAGAGAGAATTCGTGGACGCCCACAACCAAACACACTTAAACTCCTAAAGGTAATTCCTGATTCAGCAAATAAAAATGATCCTCACGTTAAGACCTTCAAAGTACTCATTTACCACTCCTGATGCTCATTGCTTCAGCTGAGTAATGATACCTCTTCCATAATGCTGACATCTAAGAGCCTCTAGGTATGTTGTTATTTCTGGTGTGTAATTTTGGGGGGGGGGAGGCGGGGACAAAAAACAAAAAAACCACTGACGTGCCCAATTGCAAAGCACCAGGTACTAAGATACTCAAAATGACCTTCCTGGGTCTCATTGGAAAGAGCCACTTTTTAACCCTGCATCCTCAAATCACAAAGCAGGTTTCAAAAGGCAGTTATTTCGAAAACTTTAATCAAGTTCCACTCGATTTTACCTATCATGTGCACCTCTAAATGGTCTCTGGATGTTGATGGCCTTTCTAACTGCTCAAGAAGGTACCATCCACTTTACCTCTATGTCTTGGTGTTTAAATCACCAGCATTTCTTTTGTTTTTTTACATTTGAAAAAAAAAATGAAACTAAAAGGTTCACAGCATCCAACTCAAAATGAGCCGATTAGGGAAGTGAATGTCTCCTGAATTAGGGAAGTGAATGTCTCCTGAAGGTTACACATGGGGTCACATCCCCCTAAACAGATTTCTTTGGTTAGTTCCTTCTCTCTTTCCGCTCCACCTGAAATTTGCATAGCCTAAGCTACTCCCAAATCCCTCTTGGAGGAGGGGGCACCGGTCGAGACTCCATACGCCCGCCTTCTCCCTCCGTAGGAGTTAAGGGGAGTTGAGAGACGCGATGCTGATACATGGCAGCAATCCCCCGCGGCAGACTGCCCCAACGCTTTTAGGGTTGGGGAAGAACACCTCAGGGCACCCAAGGGACCCCTTTGAACCAGGGCAGGGGCGAGACGCAGTGGCAGTTCCTGCGGCTCTGCAGAATAGGAAAGCCACTCAGTTTCGCTCACCCCAGACCAAGAGAATCCTGCCTGCACCCCGCAGTTGCGCTGCCCATTCCGGGCGCACTCCCGGGACGGAAGCGGTTCTTGCTTTCGTCTTAGTAACACACACCTGCAGCCGCGTCCTGAGCCCCCAAGGGCCGCGCGTAGCTCAGGGGAACCGGCGCCACCGCCCAGAGCGTCCATCAGCCCTTCTGGGCGCGCTCTACCTGCCCGGCTGGGAGGGGACTGGATGAACCCTTGGGACCAAGCTGACGAGGAAGAAGGGGGAAACATCTCGGAGCCGCCCCGAGACTCCCCAGCCAAAGCCCCCAACTCCCCAGGAAGAGGGGGCCGTACCAGCACCCACCCAAGTTGCCGAAGAGGCCGGACGCACAGCACACCAGGGCCAGCACCGCGCACACGAAGCCGACTTGCTGCGGCAGCATCTCTCGCCTCCTGCGAACTTTGAGTGGCCGGAGGGTCCCGCGGAGCGCCATGCCGGAGCGCCTTGGTGCCGTCCCTGGGAGAGGATGGGGAGCTTCAGCCGCCGCAGTGCAATCAGTGGCCGATCGGCGCTGGAGCTGTAGCAGTAGGTGCGCGGCTCAGCGGCGAGGAGCTCCGGGCCAAAGCCTCATGTCCCGCGGGCGAGGTCTGCGGGGGAGCCCCTTGGGAAGGTGGGGACGCGCGACGC